ACGGGTTGAAGGAAGACCACTTGAGGCTGCGGAAGCACTTCCACCGCCGGACTGAAGGACCAGGGCTTCAAAGACGAAGAGTTTTCACCAGACTGCAGATAAAGCATTAAAATAGAGATTGTTAGAGATTGTTGTTCTTATTATTATAAATAGTATGACTGCATTATGAAGATGGAGTCGTTAATGCATAAAATAAAACAATATTAAATAGTGAAAAAAAGTCCTGTATACCACTTCAGAATACACACTGAACATTACATACATGCATTCAATTGATTAAAATTGGCAGCAAATACATTTATAATGTTACAAATGATTTCTATTTCAAATAAATGCTGTTCTTTTGAACTTTGTTTATCTGTGAATCCTGAAAAATAAGAAATATCATGGTTTCCACAGAAATATTGTGCAGCACAGCTGTTTTCAACATTGATAATAATCATAAATGTTTCTTGAGCAGCAAATCAGCATATTAGAATGATTTCTGAAGATCATGTGACACTGAAGACTGGAGTAATGATGCTGAAAATACAGCTGCGCATCACAGAAATACATTACAGTTTAACAGAGATTCACATAGAAAACAGCTGTTTTAGATTATAATAATATTTCACCATTTTTACAGTACTTTTGATCAAATAAACACAGCCTTGGTGAGCAGCACAGGTAAAGATATTTCTTTAAAAACTTCTAAAATCTCACCGACCACAAACTCTTAAACACTAGTTATTGGTTAATCTATAATTCAAATATGACTTCACATGGTGTTAGATAAACCTCGTTCCACTGTAATCCTAATGCCAAACTCACAAGCTTCTGGATTTATAGAGTCCTTACTTGATTTATAGAGCTCGCTTTCTATTTAAAACGAGCCACTCTACATATACTATGTGTACTCCAGACTAGGGATGGGCGATACGGCAAAAAATTAAAATCTTGATTTATTTTCAGAACGTTTGACGGATTCTCAATTTTTTACGATTTTTAACTAGTCGACTTGAAAATGTAACTACGACATGATTCCAGTAACTTCCTCTAGTTAAAGACAATTCTATTCCAAGTGCGGCACACATGAAGATATAAATGTTAAACAAATCACTTGTTAAATATCTTTGCAGAAAAGATGCATGAACTATAACTACATCTTGTACAAACTTGTCTTATACATATTATATGTTCAGAAATAATGCGAGGAAAAATCTCAGAAGTCAAGGTAATTCAAACTCAAAATGACTGAAGGTATAACAGCAGTAGAGTATTATTAACTATAAATGTTCTGTAAAAACAACAGCAGCTTTCAGTCTGACACCGTGATGCAAACATGAAATATCAGACGTACAGTAATAGTTCTTCACAGGTTTTATTATTCGCTTGCACTGCTTTTCCATTGTGTTTTCTGTGTAAACATGGACTTGTTTGACTGTTGCTCTCGCGTCTCTTGCATGAAGCAGCTTTCTAAAAACACTGCGCTCAAGTTAAGAGAAGTTCACTCCCATCTTGTTGCATGTGCTTGCTATTCCACTGCAGCGTCGCATCTTTATCAACACAAAAGCTCATTCTGTGTGAATGGTGTCTAGTGATATATATTCTACTCGCGGTCCTTCACTGAACGCGGTTGGATCGTTCTTTTCTCTTTACCGTTATCACCGGCATATTGTCAAAGTGTCTAAATCTAACGTTTGGTAATATTTCTATTCAAAATCGCAATTCCTCCATTTCTAAAAAATTAAATCGTGGCAAAACATTAAATTGGAATTAATCGGAAAAATCGCCCAAGACCCGTGAGGACAAAAGCAAACGCAGAAGGTCTGAAGTTCACCTGCTGAAGAAGCACATTGTTCATGAAGATCATTGGCGAGAGGCCCTGCAGCGCTCCGCTCACCACCGCGGTCAGCTGCGACGCATCGTCTGTGTCCGTCTGATCCACCGAGCCGCCGTCTGCCAGAAACACACACGTGAACATCATCTCACACACTTCAGTGCCTACAGAAGAGAGTCCAAAGCTCTCGCTACACACCTGAGAAGCCCGAGTCCCTCTCAGACTCCGGCTTGGACTTCCCCATCCTTTTGTTTTTAAATCTGGCCATGGCTCTCATGTGACCGTCATCCTTCAGCCTCGAGCTCATCCTATTCCACCGTACGAGCCTAAAACACCAGACAGAACCATGACTGCTCTGCAGAAGCTACACTTTTAAAACAGCTTTTCAGTGCAAATATTAATTAAGAATTATTAGACAAACAGGACTTATGCATCACAGTTAACTGAAAATCAAATTAAATAAATTTAACTGAAAAACAATTTGGAAAAAAAGTTGCCAAGAAAATATTTATTATTTCCATTTAGTTAAGTACTAAAATAACTAAAACTGAAATAAAAATGAATTTTAAAACTATACTGTCATATTTTTAAATGATAATAATAATAAAAACGGATTCAAAATATTAATAAAATCTCAGTATTATTAAAATAGCATGCTGATGCATCATGTTACTTATTATGTTTCTATAAGCGTAGTATGCATAAACTTTAAGTAAAAAAACTGTATTGTTCAAGAAAACGCCTTGTAGTAAAAATACTGAAGACAATTTTACAAAAACTGAATTAATGTTAAGTTAAAGGCATGCCAATGTTTGCATTGTTAGTTAACCAAAACAACAACAACAACAACTTTCATCACTTGACATGAAACAGAAATAAAGTATAAAAATATGAACTTATTTTATTTCCTCTAGCAGCACGTCTCATCTTCATTTAGTGTAACTTGATGTACTAACATAACTAATGCTAAAATTCAAATTAATAATAAAAAAATACAAAAACACAACAAAACTGCTAAAAAATTAACTACACTTAAAATGAAAACAGAAAAACAAAACAAAAATAAAACTCCTAAAAAATATTGCTAATTATCAACAAAAAATAAATATAAATAATAAGATAAAAAATAAATAATACGGTCCTACTACTGTTTCTACAAACGTTAAACATCTTATATTTTAAAATAAACCTTAAGTATTCAAGTAAACGTTACTATCACACATTAGTAATGATATCCTCCTGAGACCCAGAAAAAAACTTTGTGAATTTAGTCTTTTTTCATGTCTTTACATTGTTTAGAGCATAAGAAAAAATGGAAAAATAACTTTTTTGAAAAATAATTTTTTTTATACCCAACTTTGTACAAAGATGATTCTCAACTAAAAGATCTAACAGAATGATTTGATATACCATTTTGCTTTATGCAATGTGTATAAAATTTCCATAACCTCGTTTTCCCATTAACACAGTGTTATCTATACACTGTATCTAATTTGCATATTAATGTGCTGTTGAAGAAGTGTAATAATGGGAGTAATAATTGGCCGGATTTTCATAATAATATCTAATATTTCATAGAAATACATAAAAAGTAACATTTCTTTCCCTATTCATTTGTTATGTCTTCCAAAATGCGTAATAAACATGTTTTTAGTCCTGGTGTCTTGCATAAAATCATATTTTTAAAGTCACATTTTTTATTTGAAACCCCATAACATTTTCCTGAGACGTTGATTCATAACAAACAATCTGAAAATTAAATCACACTCAAATGATAATTACTAAATATCATCATATTTCCATAAGGATGTACAATTTACTAAAATACACTAAAATATAATGTCTAGTCTACCACAGAGAGGATAAGTTAGTCTTGTTGTTATTGTGGACCGAGCGTCATGACGTCACCAGGTAGGTCAATTACGTGCTTAATCTCCAGCAGCGCCAATCAATCATTACCTGTCAAACATCAGATGATCGATACTTGTCGTAGTAGTACGTTACATTAAAAAAGAGAAAAGTTTCGTGTCTAAACGTCAAGCTTTCACACGAGCCACATCGCGATACAGGCCCAAGCTACGCGGCTAGCGCCTTTAAACACAGGCCTGCCGTTTAGTTTCCCCTCAGAAGCACGTAAACGTTTATTCGAGCGACATTCGTTCATTCAGAGAACGGAAACGACTTACGTGCGCGTCGCGATGACCGTGACTTCATCCGGTAACCGATAAAAACACGCTCTTTCTGCAGTCCTCCTCAGATATAAAGCGTTAGAACAGCGTTCTGCGAGCGTTCCGTAGCGTCAGTCACGCAAAACACGCTACACGGTGCCATACACAAGCCCCGCCCTCAGGGGAACGTTTGACATTAATAATGAGACGTTAATGCATTCATATTTATCTTAACGGCTAAATAAAGCGTCCGTTGAGAGCGCGTTCGTTTAATTCTTTCGCTAATTTACGTTGGATTATTTGACGTGACGCCATCGCTCCGAGAATGACTTGCGATCTTATCCAATCGGAGGCTACTAAACCGCTCCGACTGGCCAATCCTCGCGCAGGAGGCGGGGCTTGTCGGAATTCAGCCGCGGCTTTTGTTTAAATGGACTTTCCTTTTATGGAGAATGTGGGCGGGTCTGCTGGCGGCAGTGGTGCGCGTCATTTTCCACGCTCGCCTCGCATTGGTCAGTGACGCAAGCATTAAAGCTATAAAACGTGACTATTGGGACGAAAAGCCAAATATTCTCCAGTCACTTGTGTTATGTAACACCAATAAGACCTTCATTTAACCTGGAGACTTTGAGAAATGACTTTAAAGTCCTCTTTTGTCAATAAATGGTGAATAAACAAACTGCTAAATGCATAAATTAATTATTATAATTATTAGTCAATTATAAATGCATACATGTACAGAAAATTCACTCACTCCATTCTGATAAAATAAAACAAATCGTTTTATTTCTTTAAATACTGTGAGTTTATTGTTTTATAAAATATATTAAGACACATATGGGGATATGAACATGCACTGCATTGTTTTTTATATTTTCATTGTAAATTTCCCAGACTGTTGAGTTAATTGTAGCAGCACTGAGGTATTTCGCATTGATAGAGCCGGTTTCCTTCAGTTTAGCAGCTTTATTGACAATCTGTGATCCAGTTCAGTCCATATATAAAGAACGCAGATGTGTGTTGATCGCTGGAAGCCACATCCGGGTCAGCGTCCAGAGCTTGTGTGATGATGATGAGTCTGTGATCATCACATCTACAGCAGGCCATACACACAAACACATGAATGAATGAATAAATAAATGCAATATTAATATAAAATATATAAATAATAATAATAATAATAGTAACAATAACAACAAAAACAACAATAATAATAATCATCATCATAATAATAATACATTTTTGTTATATAAATAGGTATACAAATATATCTAGTTGACTAAAATGACTAAGTTGGGGCTTTAATGCCTTTAATGTCTACAGACACTATGGCGAATATAAATCCATTTGCTCTCAAATCTATTCTAGCAGATTTTTTTCTGCTTTTGTATTTGAGCTGAATATACAGGTGTAACATAATTGTTTTAACTGAGAATTACTTTCACTTACTCATTAAAATATTTAACATAAATAGATGGCACATATGTATGTAAAAACAAAACACCTTCATCAAGGTAAAAAAAATGAGATCAGCTCGTGGGCCCAGTTTCATGAACACAGCCACTAGACTGTGTCTTAAGAACTAGTTTGAATAACTAGCAGTTAGGCAAGATATCTGTCACTTTTCTGATTCGTTATGGGCCAGTCTATTTTTTTTGTAACTGACTTGAAACAGTTATGACCAGTCTTGCAGAAAACAAATGAGACGACTAACTTCTCTGGACTAGCAGTGTATGCATGGGTCCCTGGACAGTGGACACACATGAGCACTAATGAGTGAATGTGATGCACTGATGTGAGTGTGTGGCTGACCCCGGCATCCGTCCTTCCTCTCCGTATCCTCCTGCGTTTGCCCTTCTGCGTCCTTCTGCTGAGGAAGAGCATTCTGAGCCTTCACTTCTGTCATTTACAAACATCAATCAGTCAATCAGTACTCACTGCTGATTTCTCAGGTGGTGTCGTCTGGGCCTGAAGGACAGAAAGTGAGTCAGATAAATGAAAAGAAAGCAAGATGTGAGTGAGAGCCGTGAAGTGACTGATGTACCTACACTCACAGCTCTGGTGCTCCAGAAATGAAAGCAGGACATATTCTCTGCTCCTCTCCGCCGGAGTTATCCTCAACAGCTGATGAAAAACACAGAGCATTCAACATCAAAACATGAAGGAATAGCTCATCCAGACAGACAGACAGACAGACAGACAGACAGGTACGTAGGTAGATAGATAGATAGATAGATAGATAGATAGGCAGGCAGGCAGGCAGACAGACAGACAGGTAGACAGGTAGACAGGTAGACAGATAGACAGATAGACAGAACAGACAGACAGACAGACAGACAGATAGATAGATAGATAGATAGATAGATTTTACAAAAGTTAGAATTTTAGAGAAGACTTAAATGCAGCTCTTTTCAATTTCACAAAAGGTCCGTGAGCTTCGAGCTCCAAAATCACCAAAAATATCAGTGTTATTTTAGTACAATGACATTTTTTAATAACAGTTTGATTTTTTAAAATTTTAATTTTATTTAAAGCTTGAAAAATGTTAAAATAAAAAATGATACGGACTCCAAGCTTTTGAATGGTAGAGTGTATAATGTTAATAAAGCTTTTTGTTTCAGATAAATGCTGATCTTTGGATCTTTCTATTCATCCTGAACAAATGTACTCAACTGTTTTAAATATTGATAATAATGATAATCATAAATGTTTCTCGAGCAGCAAATCAGCATATTATACTGATTTCTGACACTAAGCACGCATAAACGTTGTTTTCTCAAAAACACAATCACATACATACATGCTGCCCACATATTATTGTAGCACAGTTTGTGCTGATTACAGTGTTATTAAACTTTAGACATTCAAATGTTTGTAAGCAACTGAAAAAAGCACAAATGTCAGGGCATGTCAAAACTTCTCCAGGGCCCCAAAACCCCCTCAGTCCCCAGAGGGTTAAACAGAGCATAGTGATTGGCTCAAAGGAGTCTAAGAACTCAGTAGTAGTCAAGGAAACACACACACACACACACACACATATATATATATATTTGTTGTTGCAGTGATAAACACAACAAATGCACAAGTAAAAATATGTAAATAATAATAATAGTGCCTATATAGTTTTTATTAATTTTATTTCAGTTTTAGTTTTAGTTCATTTAATGCATAAAGTTAAACAAAAATGAGGAAGTTTGCTGAAATAAAATAAGTTTATTTATTTTATTTTATTTCAGTCCAATTTTTTTTTATTAATTTCATGTAACAAATTTTTTGTGGTTTTGGTCTTAGCTTTAGTTTTCGTTAATAACCCTGATTCCAGTGTGTTCAGAAGTCACCCGGATGTTTTTGTTGATGTTTAGTCACTATGAACTGCTGTTAAATGAAAACAGCTGTGTGAAGATTCTTTAGAAATGTGTCCCACAGTAAAGAATAGCAGCGTATGTGACTGAGGTGACAGTGTCTATGCCTGGATGCTGATGTTGCGTGTGCTGGCGGGGAAACAGGCCAGTTTGTCATCATTGCAGCATCCGGAGCAGCGCAGCAGCGGCACACAGCCGGGATTGTAGATGTGCTCGACTCCTCCGGGATACTCCTGCTCCACCTCCACCATCCACTCCAGAGAACGACACTGACTGCGGCACCACGCCTCGGGGAACAGCATCACTGAACACACACA